ATTTTTAACCTCAGTAATGTAAGGTGTTGATGGGTTTAAGGTTTAGGGAATAGAATGCTACAAATTCTCTATTTGTTGGAAAACAGGATAGTTATATTATAAGTGAAATTTGCAAAGTAGACAAATTGTAAATTATATAGCTAGAAGTAGTGAGAAGTAGCACAGCTTGAACAATTGGTGTTCACAGAATAGAGTGTGAGCCATTACGGCTGGCCCAGATTGTCAGCCAGGCCAGATAAGGCAGATAAGGGGATCAGAGTATGCATACAAAGTGTTAATCAGAGACTCCACATTTTGAAGATTCTCTTCCCTTGAAACAAATAAAAATACTTTGTCTTTTGGTAACATTTCCCAGAATTGAGATCTCTCTCTTTTTCTTTTCTTTTTTTTTTTTCTTTTAGAAAACTGAAGAATGAGGAAAAAGAAAGACTGAAACAGACATGGAAGAGTATGTGTGGAAAAACAGCTCCTTAGCAAAAAGTATCTTGGAAATACTTTTTCAAATTAAAGCTTGCTGAGAAAAATTTGGAAGTAAATAAAGAAGAGCTCCTTGGTACTAAAGAAGTTGAAGATTACCAAAAGTGTGTTGTTAGTCTCAAAAATGAAGGGGAAAACAAAATTAACCTTTCTCATATAAAGAATCAGTGAAGAGACTATTGAATTTGACATGAATTATGAAGTAGAAAAGTCTGCTCTGACTTAATAATTTTATGATGCATGTAAGCCATATCTCATTTCACATAGAAGTGAAAATGTTTTAAAGCCATCATTTCATGTCATTAAAATAATCTTTCTTACTAATGCACAGTGACAGTGATTATTTTAGAGTTTTTCATTTATACACCAGAACAGTTAATTAGAAGATTACTGATTGCTTAGACTCTAAGGTGTTTTTTTTTTCTACATAACTTTAAAATTCATATTTTATATATATTTGATTGCTTGTCACTGCCATATTTCTTTCCTCCCAGATTGGCATTTAGTGCTTGTTCTTGAACACTTCAATTATTTGGAAAGCCAGGCCCAGAACCCAGCTCCCTGACTTGCATTTCAGCGCTTTGTTGACTTGTTTCCAGTTCTGGGCTGAATCAGGTCCTCAGGGATATTTTCTAATCTAAAAACTTGTTCCTTCCCTTCCTCCCTTATAGGGGCACTTTATGTTGATTTAGCTCTGCTTAGCATCCTGCTTTCTATGTTTTAGAGCTCATTTTGCAAACCCAGGCTGGAGGAAAAGTACAAGTAGATACTACCTGGTGTTCACCCCTCTCGATGCCCCAGGTAGAGCTCAGGAAAGAGTGCAGTGTGAAGACCTTCAGTTTAATTGGAGTAAATGACAAAGTGAAAACTGTCCTAAGAAGCATGCCATTGAGTTTGAGTTTAGCTGTTAAAACATTTTCTTTTTCCAGTGCTAGGGATTGAACGCATGGCCTCATACTTACTCAGTGCAAACTCTGCTCTTGAGGCTAGATTCCTAGCCCAAGTCAGTCATTTTAAGTATATTTGCAAGTCATTTCTTAACACTTCCCAAGTTATTGACAGGTGGTTCATTTACAATCACAACAAAGGAATTCTTGAGAGGTCACTTGCCTAATTAGACATATTTTGCGTAACAGAATTAGAGAATGAAAGTAAAAAGCTATCTCAAATCAGTTGTCTAAAACATTTCTATAAAATGAAGTTTAATTTGGTATTAGCAAGGCCAAAGTCTACAGTTTATAAAAGACAAAAATGTGACCTTGAGTATAAAAGAGAAAAGGGAGTATGTTGTGTTCCATTGGATACAGATAGTAAATAAAAAGCAAACAGATAAACTTTTGGTCATGTTTAGAGCATTTAGGAAGTATGGCAGTACAGGTGCAGTGCACGTGAATAATCCCAGCACTCGGGAGGATTCTGAGTTTGTGGCCAGACTGGGCTAATTAGGAAGAACCTGTTTTTAAAAAAAAAGTGTATTTATACTCCACTAATGTGGAGTGAAGGAAAATAGATACAAAATGGGGTTGAAGAAGGGAACATTTTGAAAACACTGGAAGCTGAGGGGAGACCATTTGGGTTAAGGGCGGTCTGTTGTGTACTAACAGTGCAGGTGAAAGCAGAGGGTGTAGTGTGTAAAAAAATCCATCCTTGCCCAGAGACTGGTCTGGGCTTTATGCTCAGCCTCTGAGAGGCAATCTATATAATGCCTGATAGGAGGGTCTTTGTGTAGGGTGGGAGCTAGTGCAAAAAGATTTGAGGGTGGACCCAGCCATGCCAGAAAAACCAACTATATGATTCAGAGTGGGGGCTTTGGGTCACATGGTATCAGTCCACCTGGCAGTTGGGATCAAGTACCCAGGCAGTCAGTGAGTCATTCATTCCTGTGTGATGGAGCCCCAGTAAAAACTTTGGACTTTCAGACTCAGACAAGCTTCTCTGGTTAGTAAGACTGTGCAGTTATCACATAATGATACCAGACAGTAGTGTCCTGACTTCGTAGCAGGGAGGAGGACCACAAAAGAAACAGGCCGGTGTTCTGGTAAAGTAGCAGGGAGAAGGGATGGCATAGCAGAGAGATAAAACCTAAAGAATCCAAATGTGAAGAAAGTCACGTAGGACTAGTGGTAGAGGGGCACTTAGCACTAGGGTGAAGCAGCCTATAGAACTGCATATAACCATATATGTGCTAAACCTTGTTTGTTTCTTTTTTATTTTATTGCCTCTGTAACCTGCTTGCAAGGGTACATAAGGTGAGACCCCTTTGTTCTTGGGGCTCAGCCTTTGGACACAAGTTGCTGACTCTGTGCCAGCATAATAAAGCGTTGCTTACTTGCCTCAGAGTCCCATGTCTCTGTTTGAGTTTCCTATAACAACTCCAGAGAGCACCCCAGAGGCTAAGCATTTGAAACCTTCCTGGACTTCAATTTATTTGTGTTTTCCCTTGGATGTACCTTTTCTTTGTAATAAACTGTAACTGTGCAAATAGTAGCTGTCATTGAGTTCTGTGAGTTCGTCTAGTGAATTACCTAACCTAGAGATGGTATGCAAACACTCCCAATTTACATGCGGTGTCAGAAATAAGGATAGTTACAGATGTATTAGAAAGGACTGGTAAGTTACAATGTTGGGGAGATTTCGTGGTTATTTCCTAAGCAGGTGTAACAACATTAGCCTTAGTTATTGATTGGGCCTTGAAGTCTTTGGTTGTTTCTTAATAAAATTGTAAATTTTATTTGGTTATGTTTGGATTCCAGTTATTATGGGGTCTTGTAGCCCCAGTTATTTGTGCTTTTTGCCTGACTAGTGAAGGTTGCCTCTTCAAGCCAAGTTTACTGAGTTTATCTGAAGGACAAAAGTAGGGGCTGAGGAAGAAATGTTTGTTTCCTTGCTAGGGTAGTTATATTTTTCTCAAGTGAATTTGAAGGAATGAGTAAAATTCTAAAAAACCTCAAGAAGGAAAATTTTTTTTCCTTTAGTTTTTTGGAAAATTTCTAAGCAATTTGTACATAAGTATGTATGTATTTTAAAAGGATGAATGTACAAATAACCTGTAAAGACAGCTTCTGAATTCTTTGTTTAAATATAATTTTAAGGGGCTGGGAGTACAGCTCAGTGGTAGGGTACTTTCTTAGCATGTACAAGGGTCTGGGTTCAATCTCCAGCATTGCCAGGAAAACCAAACAAATAGAATTTTGTAATTTAAATCTTGATATTTCCCCCACCAGTGAAATAGTTTTGCTTCTCTAATGTTTTAGGAAATAAATCAGTAAGATTTATGAGCCAGGCACTGGTGGCTCACACCTGTAATCCTAGCTACTCAGGAGGATCAGGGTTCAAAGGCCAGCCCCAGGCAAATAGTTCATGAGATCCCGTCTTGAAAAACCCATCACAAAGAAAGACTGGTGGAGTGGCTCAAGTAGTAAGGACACCTGCCTAGCAAGTATGAAGTCCTGAGTTCAAACCTTAGTGCTAAAAAGATTTATGATATTTAATACTATGAATCACTAGCAAGTTAAGGTTCACTGATTAATTTTTTTGGCGGGGGGTAGAACTGAAGTTTTGAACTCAGGGTTTCATGTTTGCAAAGCAGGCACTCTACCACACCTCCAGTCCATTTCGCTCTGGTATTTTGAAGATGAGGATCTCATGAACTATTTGTCCTCAAACTGGAATCCTATCTCAGCCTCTCAATCATTAAGTTTTTAATCATATTGTTATTTGTGGCTGATAGCCATTGCTGGAGAATTTGTATACTTCTATACTAAAAGAAATAGCCAGTTCCTTTTCCATCCAATTTCAATACATTTAAAGACTGAATATATTTAAAGAAAAATATCTTTTAAGACACTGGACAGTTTAACATTTGATGAATTCATGCTATCCAGTATTTATCCATACTAAACAGTATTTGTCCATCTTGTAATAGGATTTCCCCTTACCCTTTGTGCTTAATGGCTTTCTTTCAGAATGAGATGAAGGGCTAGAAGATGTGGACAGAGCAGGGCTGGAGATGGAGTTTGGTTGGTGTGGCATGCACCTAGTATGCAGGAGATCCTGGGCGTTATCTCCAGCACTACCACAACAACAAAAGATTTGGATGGATGCAAAATGCCTAGAGATAATATTTATACCGGGGTAAACTATGCAAGAGAAGAATGCAGACTAAAATTCTCAAGCTTTATTCAACAGAATCAACAGAAAACTCAAGGAGCTCAGTACCACAGTTACTGAAAGGCATCTCAGCTTTAGAAAATAAGGACGGTGGATTGGGATTGAGAAGGATTAATCAATCGAACTTAAAAATCAGGAAGCATTTGCTTATGGATTAGTAGGTAGCTAATAATGCTCTTTGGCTCAAATCAGTAAAGTGATACGTGACAATAATTTGACCTTGTCGATGGCATCTTTTATATCATGTTTATTGGAATAACAGTGGTTTTTTAAGTCTTTTGAACTAGATTTCCTGTAGTTAAATCCTGGCCTCACTGTAGCTGTGTGACTTCAGCCAAGATGCCTACCCACTCTTCACCTCAGTTTCCTCATCTGTCAAATGCAATAGTAATTGTGTGATAACAGTATTATGCAATGGTAATGGTTAATAACAGTCCACCTATCTTGCAGAGTTGTAAGTGTGCAGGTAGTTAACGCACTTAGAACTATCTCTGACACGGAGCTAAATGACAACTGCTGGAGTGAGACTTACGTTTACTAAGCATTGGCCTTTTTAGAGGTTGGTAGGAGTGGACATCCTAGATAATTAATTATGTTTTTAATCAAATTCCCCATGGCTTACAGAAAACTGAAAATGAAACCCTTGAAATGTTATAACGTCACTCCAACTTTTAAAGAGTTCTGCCTCAATGTATTGCAGTTTTTACTTTGTCTCGATCCTGACTTTCTCTGTCCTAGTGTATACTGGCCCTGTTGCTTCCGACAGCATCCAAATGCCAGGATGACTACACAACAGCAAAGGAAGATGACAGCGGTACACAAGGCCAGAGAAGCCAGCCAGGTCTTTGAGGTCACAGATGCCCCACCAGGTGTCTCATCTTCATTCTCAGACGTGTGATTTCTGCTGTTGGACCCCTTGGTTTTGTTCAGTAATTGTTTGCTACTGTTGAGTCCGGATGGGATAGGCACATGAGAACGTTTTGTGTCTGTGGGCACAAAGAAAGTAGAAATAGTTTCATTGTTTGGATTGTTGATGAAGTCAGTACTTCGTGATTCCTTATTTACTTTGGTGGTAATGGGGTCATTTAGGGAAATGAATTTTGCCCCCAAATCTGTGGTTAATTCCTTGGAATAACCAGTATTGTTTGTGTTTGCAACCAAATCTTGATGTGTAGTTGATGATGGAGGCTCTATTGATGGCAGCATGTGGTTGAGCATGGTGGTTTGTTGTTTGTCTAAATTCATAGCTTTTAGGATCCTTAGTCTGTCCCACCTACCAGATGAAGAGTGGGTCTTTAGATCAGAGGGAGATGATTGCTCAAAAACCAGCAAATCTGGATCTTTACCTGAAAGATAAATAAGATATTATTTATTTTATTTTCAATTTCAAAGAGAAAGCCTTAATACATGGTTTGGAGAGTCAGATTTTCCCACTCTGAATTATTGAACTAAGCTAAATACAGACTCTACCACTGGAAACTTCTGAAAAGCTTAGACACATACCAGCTACATTTCAGCTTATTTTCTCTTCCTAGGACACTTTCTGCTTTGAACAAATTGGGCTTGTGTGTGCCAGGGCTTTGGCACAGCAATAGTGAGTGTTATGTGTACTGGGAAAACAGTAATCATGTGAGGTACTAGATAACATTTTTAAATGCAGTAGGATAAAATAGAGCCAGAGAAAGGTAACTATTCAAAGTCATGAAATCCCCAAGGGTCTTGCTTTATTTTACTATTTTCTCAGTTTTTGTATCTAACTCCTTTTCCTCTGACTTTACACATGCCCAAACTGCTTTGTCTTTAGAGGAGAAGAAAAAAGCTTCCCCTTCTCTCTCTCTCTCTCTCTCTCTCTCTCTCTCTCTCTCTCTCTCTCTCTCTCTCTCTCTCACACACACACACACACACACACTTTCTCTTCTCTCCTCTCTCTCTCTCTCTAAAAGCATGCCAATTTACATTTCCTTTCTGACTTTGTTTTACCTTAGTTTCTTGTTTCATTCCTCACCCTTCTGTCAAAATTATGCTTCTGAGGCCCTTTCTGTTTCCTAATCAGTTGTACCTCATTGCTTTGGCTTTTCTGTTGTTCTTCGATACTGCTGACCATCCTTTTCTTGAAATTCTTCTCCCATGACTCCCTGGACCCCAGGCCCCCTGGCATTTTACCCCCCACTCCCTGCTTCCCATTTTTACTTCTTTTGCTGGTTCTCTTCTTGCTGTTAACTGGTGGCGTTTCCACATTCTTTAGTCCTTGGGCTTCTGTTGTGCTTCTGTTGTGTTTTCTTTTCACTGCTTCCCAGCCTTCCACACACACAAGGAGATTGTTCTCAGTCTTCACACTACAGTGATGGCCCTCAGTGTTTCACTGGAGGCTTCTGCCTGGACAGCTCACGTCATCTCTACTGAATATGTCTGAGCCAAAATCATTCTGCCTCCTTGTCTCAGCCAGTGGCATTATCACCCCGTCACCCATCCTGGAATCTATGGCAAGAATGATTTTTGCCTTCTCTTGTAGTGGGTAGGAGGGGAAGACATGGCAGAAAACTGAAACTTAAAGAAACTAAACCTGAGAAGGTCATGTAGCACTGAGGATAAAGTAGTCAATGAAGCTGTAAGTAACCGTATATGGGTTAAACTTTGCTTCTCGCTTCTGTAACCTGCTTGCAAGGGTATACAAGCAAGGGCCCTTGTTCTCGGGGCTCAGCCTTTGGATGGGAATCCACTGAGCCACTGCCAGCATGCTAATAAACACTGCTTCCCTAAAAGCCTTGGTGCCCTGTTTTCCTGCTTGGCTATCCCACATTCTCTCTTCATTTCCTTCATTTCAAAGGTAACTAAGGGCTGGGGATGCAGCTCAGTGGTAGAGTACTTGCCTAGTATGCTCAAAGCCCTGGGTTCAGTTCCCAGAATCTCACACACAAAGTAATTAATCCTTCTTTCCAGTGTTCGCGTAATTACCCTTTTCATGACAACTACCATCACCTTGTGTAGATCAAATGCTTTCTTGACTAGATTTTCTACTCTGTGTCCCACATACAATGTTCCTAGACCAAGGTCATCAGAATTCTCACTTCAATTGCGGTGTCTTGTTAAATGCCTCGCTAATTCCACATTCCTTTGTTGCTATTGTTGTGAGGCAGGCCAGCCTTAAACTCAAAATCCTCCTGCCTCAGCTTTATGGGGTTGGGATTAAAGGTCTAAGACACTGCACCTGGCTTGATTCTCTCCTTCTGGCAAAGTCATTCCAAAACTCTACCCATAGACTTCTGGAAGGCCAGCCCCACTCTCTCTCTGCCATATTTCCATTGTGACTTCAAACGTGTCCTTATTGTAGCCAGACCAGCTTTTCACTTTCCTGTGGTGTGATACACAACTCCTTACCTTGTTGCCTCTTCCAAGAAGCCTCCCCTGAATAAGCTGGCTTCCTTCAGTCTCCCTTTCTTACAGCCTTTGGACTGAGGCTGCATCACACATTTTTGTGTTTAGTTATATATTCTATATGGATTGTCTTAACTCATTACATCAACTAGATTATAGGAAACATGAGGGCAGAGGTGTAGCTATTGAGCCCAGCCTGGAATATTAGTCAAAGAATACAAATCAATAAAGAAATTTATCTCCTTTGTATTTTGATGGCAAACACTATTCTTTTGTACATTGGCAAAGGACTCTTAAAGATGCATTTTTCTAGAATAAAATACACTAGTTATCTTGAGACCAGTGAGAGGCTGATGTATGTCCATGGTCTGTTTCTTGGTCCTTGACTTCCGTCTTTGTAGAGTCCTTGTATACATTGTCCATAGACCATTAGCCAGCCTGCCTGCCTGCCTGCCTTCCTTCCTTCCTTCCTTCCTTCCTTCCTTCCTTCCTTCCTTCCTTCCTTCCTTCCTTCCTTCCTTTCCTTTCCTTTTTTCCTTCCTCCCTCCCTCTCTCCCTCCCTCCCTACCTCCTTCCCTTCCTTCTTTACCTTTGGGTCTTGCTCTATATCCTAGGCCGGCCTCAAACTCAAGATCCTCCAACCTCTGCTTCCCTAGTACTGGGATTACAGATGGCGCCCTCAGCCAACACAGTAGAAATGTCTACTTAGCTTTTGTTGTGGGTTCCTGAAATATGGTACTTTAAGTTCTTGTTCATTTGCCCATAATTTATCATCTGGAATGAACTTGTCATTGCTGAATGTGCCAAACTAAGGGGAATTTCCTTTCAGTTTTCTTTCCTGGATGTACAAACCATCTCTAGACAGAGGTCACTGGAAAAGAGTGATGTAGAGCCTATCCATGGCCATTACCAGCCAGCATCCTTCAAAAGTCTCAAAATGCAGAATCATTACCATCTGTTATGTTGTACAGAATGGCACCGGTTCCAGGCTCTAATATGCAGCTCTCCAACGTGGGGCAGTGGATGTGGAGGCAGTTGACATTGTCATGAATCGGATCATGGAAGAAAACAGCCAGGTTACAGGAAACTGAAAAGGAAACAGACAAAGCACACCTTCAGAAGATTTGATTTCCACCAGTTTTTGCTTATTTGTTGGCTTTAGCAGAAGTGGGTGGTGTGATGGGGAAAATGAATCCAGCCTCCCCAGAACAGCCCTGAACTCTATCTATCCTGAGCATACAAGGGCTTCTTCCACACGGGCTCCTTGGAACCATGTGCCTGTGGATACCAACCATCTACTGTGCATCAGATTTCTAGGTGCAATAGCTTCTCAGAATGCTAAGGTGTTAGCACCAGAGAAAGGAAAAAAAAGGGACGAATGTTACCAAAGGGAAGAGAATGATGGGAAGGGCAGAATGACAGCCTAACTGGGAGGAGAAGCCCAGATGTTGGAAGGCAGCGCCAAGCAGCAGGCCAACTGTGTCTGCCTGCATGTGTGCGCGAGTGCCATGTGCAAACCACATCCCCCTAAAACATGATCAATGCTATATAAGGAGGCAGAGGGTGCTGGCGTGTGCCATTCTAGTGGGTGGTGGCATATTGCTTGCTCATGCTGTCTTCCCTTTCTAAGCAAATTTGCTGTTTAAAACAGTCTGGAAAACCTGAAGTCAGATTTGTTGTATGCAAACCTTCAATCTATCTTCCCTAAAATGCAACACAGATTTTAGTCCTGCTGCAGAGTGGTCAGAACCATGTGATGCATCCCTTGGGAATACCTTCTTTAATAAAGTAAGGTTAGAGAGGCGAGCATGTGGCTCCCAGGCCTCAGCGTGCCTGAGTCTGCTGTGGAATTATGCTGGCAGAACCTGTCTGGCTTCTCTGGAATGTTCATTGTGAGAGCTACATCTCTACCACTACTTCTGGGACACCCTCAGATTTCTGCATTCCTTATTTTTCCAGAAGGAGAAAACAGACAAAAGTTAGCTTAACAATGCATTGCTAATATGTTAAAGATTGCATATTACAGTCCCGAGGACTGAGCTGTAAAGTTTTAAGGGAAAGGAACTTTAAAAGGTTCAAATTTAATATGTTTAAATTTATGATAAAGTAGCTGATGCTTAAAGATGCTTCATGTTAGCCAGACAGGTCGTACATGCCTGTTATCCCAGCACCTGAGAGCTGAGGCAGGAGGATTGTGATTAGAGACCAGCCTGTGTTACATACTGAGACCTTGTCTCAAACAAAACAAAACACAAACAAAAAAAAGTTTTATATTCCTTACATACATTTCAAGAGCCTCTGCTCAGAGCAGGGGTATGGCATTTTAAAGTTCTTATCTCCAGCTAAAAACTGCAATGTGCCTTCCTGCCTTTCCAGATCTGAAGAGAGAAAGCCACAACTTGGAAGCTACAGAAACGGTCAGATCCTGCAGTTGTCCTAGGTGATTACAGTAGCCCTGAAAACCCAGAGGCCACAGCCACTCAGGTGTGGAGAGTGAGGTAAATTCTAATCCTGGGAAAACTGGGGAAAAGCTCCCCTCATTGAAGGTTTTTGGGAGTTAGAAGCATCCAGGAAGTGGAAATCTGGATTGATTATCTTTTCAGAAAGAGTCCCCTTTATTAAATTAGTTGCTTTCTTTGTGCCTGACTAACTATTGAGGAACTGGGCTGTGGCAGCTTCTCACATTGTGATCCTGGTTAAACTGTCCAAGTAGCTCCAAGTTCATCTCACATTCAGGAATTGTACATGCATAGTTGGACTAGAGACACTCTACCACTTGATTCACTCCACCTGCCCAGGAATTACTTTAAAGCACTTATTGCTTTTGCTGTTTCTTTCCAAAAACCTTTAAAATCACGAGGAAAGTGAAAAGAAAATGGAAGAAATCTTTAGGCAATTGTGACCTGAAATTCCACAAGAATGAACTGTTTTCCTAATTGAAGGCCTTATCATATTATATAGATAATGTTTGCACCCAGATTCCATACTAAAGAGAAATAGTCTTATGGAAATGTGAGAATATAATTTAATTTTTTTGCTATTTGATATACATATCCCTATGTTTCAAACATGATTCACAGTCTTCCTGGCCAACGCATCCTGTGTTTTGTCAACCCAAGCAAACACAGTTCAAATAATTAGTATGATACAATAATAATATCACCAAGAAGTACTTTAAAAAAACAAAATACTGCAAACATTTTTGAAATCATATCTGTCATACCTGGGGTTATAAAAATGTTGTTAGTTAACCCTGGAGGAAATATTTTCGCTTCACACTTCTTTGAAGAAAATAAGATTCTGGTTTCTGGAGGTCATGTGGCATTCTAAGACATTATTACATTTGTAAATACAGCATGCTAAAGTCAGTCTCAATCTCTCTCCCTCTCCCTCTCCCCCTCTCTCTTCCTCCTTCATCCCAGTGCATCTTTTCTGGTCCTTTTCACCTCTCCCCTTTCCTCCTTACCTAGGCCTTCGGTCTTGGCCGTCCCCCTTACTTTTGCTAAGGTATGTCATTAATACTTGCCGTCCTTCCTAAGACAGCAGCTCCTGCTGCACTTCTGGCCAGTGCTCTCAGAGTAATACTTCAAGAACTGGGCTCCCAGCTTCTGAGATTCCTGCAGCTCAATGAGCAGACCTGGGAATCGACGGATCCAGCAGTCTCTGTAGAAAATGGTGGGTGAGCAGAGAGAGTCTGACAGCCACACCATGCTCAGGAACAACAGCAGGTCTGCTGCCACCACAGCCACCTGCATTGCTCTGGTATGAAGGCAGACTCAGAGACAGTGTGACTTCCAGACTGATGCTGAAGCTCACCATTAGGGTTTTGGGTTTAGGACAGTCTCAAGATCTTTGGGCTAAGAGTGAGCTTCCTTGGAAGGCTTCTGGAGAGTCAGCCTGAGGAAAAAGGAGACCATTCTTTGCATACTGATTTTTCTTTTGTTTCTTCCTAGAAGAGTCCCAGGTAAACACTGGCATTGCTCTGTGAACCCTGGCCAGGTGCTTCCAATATCCTGTCCCTTAGACTCTTAAGGATGTAGACTCTCTCCTCTACTTTTCTTCTTCCTCTGAAAGTGAAGAGTCACAGACACCTTTTACTAAGTAAATATACAGACAAATGGAAATCCTAGTCAGGAGTCTTTCTGAGGAAAACAATAATTTAGTCACTTGACATCAGATAAAGGAAGGATCTATTTCACCAGAAACCAAACATTGTTTTGTAAGGTACTCTGTATAGCTTTAAAGGAACTGACTGAAGATTAAAAAAGAAATCAGTTCTTTATTTGAATTTAAGTTCCACTGTTCATGTTCACTAGAAAACTAGTCTGAAACTAGTTAAATTTTTGTTTTTATTTGAAAAAAATCTTGACGGTAAATTAAAAATTAATATAAAATAAAATTTAAAATTTTAATTTTGCAGGGACTATAAAAGTTCTTGGGGTCAGTCTCAAGCTTTTTTTTTAAAAGAGAATTAAAAATTCAGCCATAAAAATATGCTCATAATGTAAATGGAGTATAATAACCATTAAAATGTATACTGCTGGACCAAGAGTAAGTGTAATTTATAGTGAAAATTGTGAAGAGGTTCAAGAAAGGAATGCCCAGGCCGGAGGTGTGATTCAAGTTGCCTAGCAAGTACATAAACCCCAGTACCACCACGAAAGAAAGAAAAGAGAAAGAGAGAGTAGAAAGAAAGAGAGAAAAAAAAAGAAAGAAGAAAGAGAAAGAAAAGAAAGGGATGCTTGTCTTCTGCAGTTTATGTTTGCAAGTGATAAAAATGACTTCTTTATGAAGGACCTACAGAAAGCCATTGTATCTCTGAAACAGAAATAGTTGCTCTGAAATGTGATCATGGAGAAATCATTTTAAATTTCCAAATATTAATAGAATCACTACAATTACAAAGCCAAAACAATTGAAAAGGCAGTAAAAATGGCCTCTTGATCTTGTGATGGCTATGTGTTCCTCATCTCACAATGTCCAAGATGACAAATTAGATCCAGCCATAAAACTGCTGCTTTTTTATCCATTTTTATAGATGCATTAGCGATCATGGACTTTCACCATGAAGTACTGAACTGTACCTTTAAAACCATGAAATATCTCCACATCTTGAAGCTGTTTCTTCCATACCTTTTTACACAATGTCTCATTTATGTACTTGATCCCAAAATGTAAACATTCTCTGAATTTCCTAATAGTCATCATCCTACTGGTGACATCTTTTAATTTTTAGAAACATACATAATTGATAATGAGGAGGAAAATACTTAAGACTGAATAACTTTAAAAACAATTTCACTTTCTCCTAAGCAAATATTATATCAAGCACTAACTCCTATCCTTGCATAAGCAACATGAAATATACTAAAAATGCTAATTACTTCATTCTAATGCATTTTATAAATTGTTTTTATATTTATTCATATATGAATACATTGTTTGGGCCACCTCTCACCACTACCCCCTGCCCACCCCTCTCCCCCCTACCCTAATGCATTTCTGGAGAGCTTGTTTGGAGGTTCTAGCAGGGGAGCACCACTACTCCTATATCCTTGACCAAAGAATGGTCCTCCTCTATCAGAATGGTCGTCCTCTTCCACTCAGCACGCAGCTTCAGGACGGGCGCACATGGAGCGGTGAGGGAGGAAGGGGACACCTGCCTAGCCAGCCAGATCAGCCGAATCAACCCTGGCAATCAATGGGGTAACAGATGTCACAGCCAGATCGCCCTCACATCCCCTAATCCATTTCTTAAAGAACGTTTCAGTTGCTTGCCTGAAAACAGTCTGATTATTCCATCTCTTTTGAGGGGAAAAGTAAGAGATTTTCTAATGGCAAGCAAGGGGCAGATGAATAACAAAAAATTGCTCCCCATTTTTCATGAGAGTCCATAGCTATTTCTATTAGGAAATGCCCTTGTAGCAGGGAGGAGGATCAGAAGAAAACAGACAGGCCTGTGTTCTGATAAAGTAGCAGGGGGGAAGGGATGGCACAGCAGAGAGATAAAACCTAAAGAATCCAAATGTGAAGAAGGTCACATAGCACTAGGGGTAGAAGGGCACTTAGCAGTAGGGTGAAGCAGCCTATAGAACTGCATGTAACCATACATGAGTTAAACCTAGTTTTTTAATTTTATTGCCTCTGTAACCTGCTTGCAAGGCACATAAGGTGAGGCCCCCTTGTTCTTGAGGCTCAGCCTTCGGACACAAGTCTGCTGGGTCTGTGTTGGCACAATAAAATGTTGCATCCTGCTAAACTGCCTCAGTGTCCTGTGTCTCAGCTAGCAACTTCCTGCAACACCCTTGGAGCATAAGGTAGAAAATCTACTTTCTAACCTTGTGAACTTCAAGTATCTTAGTCATATCAATTGTAGTTTCTTCTGTGTAATTCCTTGAAGTTCTCATGTTCCCTGCTGGAATAATGAAATAATCTGACATTGTTTAACCCTTTACTGTCAAGTGATATTTAAGTGAAGATCAAAGTTGCATATTAATGGATCTACAATGCCTTAAAATTTTGAAACACATTTTTTGTGGTGACTCATAAATATTAAGTCTGGAAATGAGTAACTTCTTGGGGCTAAGTATTTTGAAAATGAAAGAAAGAAGAGGACGACAGAGCTTGACCATGTGACGCTGGGCACCATTGCTCACGCCTGTTGTTATCCTAGCTACTTGGGAAGCTGAGATCAGATGGATTGTGGTTCAAGGCCAGCCGGGACAAATAATTTGTGAGATGCTGTCTCAAAAATACCCAACACACAAAAGGGCTGGCAGAGTGGTTCAAGTGGTAGAGCACCTTCCTAGCAAGTGTGAGGCCCTGAGTTCAAACCCAGTACTGCCTCCCCAAAAAAAGTTCTTATGAAAAAGTATCTTTCAGTGCTTTTAAAAGAAAGATCTAGATTAAAAATTATACTGACTTTCTGGTATTTCATTCTTTATGCATACCAAAATTTGTACCAGAACTTCCTCAATTGTAAAATATTCTAAAGATAGTATTATAACCCACATAAAGCATTTCACAACAGTGCCTGGCATGTAATAAATGCTCAATAAATATTAGCCACCATTATTATTATTATGTATTGTTTTCCAGTTTTTATTATGAAAACCAATACTGTGATGAACATCTTATACTAAGACTTTTCCACTTGCTAAGTCCAAGTCCACAAATTCTTTTTAAAATTTCCTGTTTGATCATTATTTTAGTCTTTTATAAAACAGGCAGTGATATTATTAAGTGCTTGACATGAATCACAGTTCCAAAAGCAAGTCTTCTTTAGGTAACAATCAATTTATCTTGTTACAAAAGAAATGTTTTCATGAAGACTAGAAATCATATTCTAGGTCTTTTGTAAATAAAAGAATTTGTATTCCTTTGACTTTGTATTTCTAGCTTAACAGGAAATTCATTGTGTAATTTATTTAAATGAATCAGTCTTTTAGGATGCTCCCAGTCTTCAAGGATGTTATTATGTCAGGGGCTGAAGAAGTTTGCAGTGTCAGTGCTCAATATTGCCAAATTAACACCTGATCTTGCCCTGATAGTACCATGCTTGGATTACCTTTCTAATGCACATCATTCATGGAGTGTGATTTTTCGGTCTGTTTTAAAAAGGCAAGAAAATGCCAGTCTGAGGCAGATCTATGACAGCTGGAAACAAAAGCATCCATTGGTGAAGGACTCTAAAGAGACAAATGAGAGACTAAGAGCCTGTTCTTTGTGGCTGACACACCGAATCCTGCATTGTCACTGACTGAGGCACAAATAGACCCCAGGTCCAGCCTCTTTGAAACAGGACATCCTAACACAATCCTCCAGTCTAATGCCTAAGAATGGGTGTGGCATTTTACCTTCCCAAAGAGACTGCTAAATCCTGGTCACTCACCTGCCCTCACCTTTCTCCCAAATCAAGAATGTCTCACTGCACTCTCATTGAGAATGGAAGTGTGAAAGACTAGTGTGACAACAGAATCTTATCAGCAATGATTTAAAGGCCAGGTGACATAAGGTGAAGCTCTGGAAGTTTGTCACAGAATCCAATAGAGTAGTTGAATAAAACAAGTCATAGATTCATTTGTTTCCTTTGTTTTTCCCAGAGAGATGGAACCTACTAGAATTCTTTTTCCATGTTTCTTAAATTTAGTTCTTGATTCTTGGTGTATGAGGCAGAAAATAATAGACAACACCACCTCACTATGAGGTAGCTAAATTGCAGAGTAAGAAACACAAATGTGCTTAGCAAGTGTGAGGCCCTGAATTCAAGCCCCAAATTCTGCAATAAATGCATAAATAAGCATAAATGTATGTCGAGAGGTTCTCATGCTTTACCTGTAAGATTTTTCCTTTTCTGATTTTTAATCATTCCCAATTTCTAAAATAAAATACTAGTCAGCATTATAGGAAGTACTTTCAGATTGAGATACAGGAAATATATTTAGCAGAATATTTTACTTAATAACTTCTCATTCAAGAAGAAAGCTAAAGTTTGTATAATTACAAACTTTAAAAATATTTTTAAATAAAAAAATGGGCTATGGAGATAGCTCAGTGTTTAGCATGTATGAGGACCAGGTTGGAACCCCTGTTTCATGAAAACAAAATAAACAATCTAACTACGTAGTCTCCCCCAAATTGAGGATTATTATATTTGGTTCTCAAATATTGGTCTGGGGAGGTTTTCAAGGTTTAAAAGATAAATATGAACATGCTTTCTGTTCCTTTGAAATTCACATTCCTCCTTCTAGCCATT